TGGCAGCTGCTGTCACTGCTCACCATTAATCTCAGTATTGATGTTCTCACCCTCAAGCAATCTTCACTCATTTTTTACTCTCATTAAACCTGGGTATTTTCCCTATATCTGTATATTCCCCATTGCTTGAGATAACAGTTCAGTTTATGGCATTTCTGGCTCGGTCTGATTACTTTTTTGCATCTTTCTCCACACTTTCAGAACCCAGTTTTTCCCTGTCCCATCTCCAGCCCAAGTCCTTTGAGATCAGAAACTAACTTCTCATTGTCATCACTGTAAAAGGGAAAGAACGTCATTCAAGGGCGGTGTTCAACAAAACCCAGCACTGATGCTACAAAAGTTATTTCCTTCTTCATAGCCTCCAAACTGGAAGAATTGCTTGAGCTATCTAATCCAGTATTCTACCATCAGCTACTTTTAGATATCTTTGTGCTAGGCACAGAAACAAACAAATCCAACAGCAAGCAAATCCTACTAAGAGTTTCCTCATAACTTTATTCAAAACTTCACTGGACGGGACCCGGAGCACCATGATCTCACTGCAAAGTTGGCCCTGCTTTGAGCAGGGGGGGGGATAAGGCGTGTGGACTAGATGTTCTCAAGAAGGTTGGTCCCTTCCAACCAAGGTTATTCTGTGGTTCTATTAATGAACTAGAATCCGCCTAATACCCTAAGCCGTATCTCTAATCATGAATTTCTGATTATAGCGATAGCAAGATCTCATTTATTTAGCAAACTCGGGTAAGAAGAGCCTGACATAAGAACGGAGGTATGCACCCAAACGCCCATTAGTGAGGTACAACGAAAAGTCACCCATTATCCTGCAGACCGTCTCAGAAAGAGGAGGGGAAGAGGCTGCAATGATGGTACCACTGCTGCTTTTCCACACACAGTCCTTTGACACAGAACCTTTCTAACAAAGCGGCAGGAGGGAGTGGGGGAGAAGAGTTGTTCATTCACAATGGAGAACCACAGTGCCTGTGAACGGATTAGTGCTAATCGCTTTACCAGCTAGTAAGTGCCAGTTTGTTAGACAGATCTTCCTTCACGTTTTCTAGGGCTCAACATTTGTAAAACCCTGGTATCTTTACCAAATACTCATATGCATCAATTCACTTGAGAATGCAATGTGATATCATTTTATACACCACCAGTATTTGTGTGCACATTTATCATCTGAATTTTTTTAGGTTTAGTCTTGCCATCTTTTCAAATTCTCTTTAATTTAAAGACATTTTCTTTCTCAGTAAATTGTCTTGGCCTGTGTTACTGAAAGGCTGTTGTTGCACATACAGGAATCTGTTACTGTACATTTTGTATGGTTTGTAAACGTCAGTCTCTCCAGAAAAAAAGATCGTGGAGGGATGGCAAAACCTGAAATACATGTGATCAATAAATGATGTTGTTTCATCATACAGAAAATGTCCTTGTATCAGAAACAGAAGTCAATCCGTCTATCCAGTATCGAAACAATGAGCAAGACACCGGTGCCTAGAAAGGTATAATTTTAGTATGTGGTAGCGTAGTGTTGTCTCTGCTAACTTAACCTAACGTAGCACAGGCAACAGAGGAGTGAAGGAGCAGTATCAGACTTCAGCATGTGCTAACATGTTCCTGAGACTTTGTATCATGGTTGCCAGCATGGGCTAAAACTCACGTTGCACAGACCTTAAAAAAACTTTTTAAAAAAAAATCCCATTTGGTAAGATCGGGTGTGAGCCTTCCCCGCACTAGTCTTTATTGAGTGATTAGGTGAAAAGCCTGACAATATTATACTTAATAGTTCTTATTTTTTATTGCAAACAATAAAAGGAAGTCTTTCATGAGCGTCAGAGTTGGCCATCTATAGTCTTTCTCTCATCAGTGTGGCAAACACCCATTAAATGCTTCCAATGATACTGACTAGCCAAATTTAGGAGGATGAGGGAGGTAGACAGGGAGGACGCAAAGGGAACACTGCACTGATCTGAGCAGTGATTTGCATCTAAAATATTAAAGGCTGCCTGGGACCAATCAGCATTAGCATTACATGAAAGCCACCTACTAGTAGAGACAGGTTTTTTTTTTTTTGTTCCTTGCACGTTTGGAGTGGGGGGTAGCTTTTTTATACCCCCCCCCCCCCCAACCGACGGATTTCCCCCC